TTTATTTTTAATAGTAAATAGACAAAAACAGCTTTTGGCGTTTTAAGAGCCTTTTTTCTGTCTGTTGACTCTACGACTAATATACTGTTGCGTCAGAGAGGTCACGTGACTAGTATCACGCCACTTCTTTCTCGAACCTTCGTGAATTATCGGGAGATTACTAGATTGGGAGTAGTCTGGTATATACATAAGATGGTCACAACGTGACGGGACAATGTGTACGTAATGAGTAATTGAACTGCAGTCAGAGAGTGTATAATTGAGTATTGTCGAGCACGAGTGCGTGACACGTTCTAGCCTTTGTTATAGAGCGAATGTTGAAAATAAGTGTATCGGTAAAGTTGTATTCGGTATATATATAAGATGGTCACAACGTGACGGAACAATGTGTACGTAATGAGTAATTGAACTGCAGTCAGAGAGTGTGTAATTGAGTATTGTCGAGCACGAGCGCGTGACACGTTCTAGCCTTTGTTATACAGCGAATGTTGAAAATAAGTGTATCGGTAAAGTTGTATTCGGAAAGAATAAACCAGTTTTATTAAGAAAGGATTTGTGTCGCAAAAATTTCGTCGGAACGAAGTTACGGAAAATCAACTAACGAACGGAGACGTAACAAATTTGTGTCAGAAGTGGGATAGAAAACAAAAAAAATGGAAACGAGAGGCGGAAAATCAAACTACAGCATAGCAGACTTGATGACAGCAATACAAGAGCACGAAAAGAAACAAGAAGAACGAGAAAATAAACAAGAAAAGAAACAAGAAGAAAGATTACAACATGAAAAGATAAATTAGTTAAAACATATATTAGTAGTTTTTCCAATAATAATGATTACAACATCAATATTGACGATCGGTATGGAATAAAAACAAAAGATTTATTTCAAATGATAAATAGACAAAAATAGCATTTAGCGTTTTACGAGCTTTTTTTTCTCTTCGACTTTTTAATGTATTTGTGACATGTAAATCTAAAATCGAAATTAAACTGACATATCAGTATGTATTTAAGAAGTGCATGTAGCTTGAATAAACCAAAAAGAAACAAGATACAATTGTTTCACTTTGAAACAGAAAATACGTTTTATTAACCAATAAACTAAATTTAAATATATGTGCAATTTACAATTATTGGTGTAATAGGGCCGACTTCCCTAGCTTTAAACAACTTGAAACACGACTTCATTGAAAAAACACCAAGGCACGATTTTCACGACTTTTGTGGAGTGTAGGTGTTTGTTGAGATAAAAGAGAGAGTTATCGCGCCATTTTATCTAAGTGGATTGATCGTACTGTTGCGTCAGCGAGGTCACGTGACTAGTGTCACGCCACGTTTTCTAGAAATATCCTGTTCCTTCAAGAATGTGTTAG